CTATATACAGGATTACTCTAATCGAATAATTCCAAATTTGGAATCAAATTATTAGAATTCAATTTTCTTTTAACTGATCAAGATTACGTCAGTTAACCAACATTTCTGCTACGACCATCCTCTTCGAATACAGTCACGTTTCACTGCGCCGCCAATGAAATTCCAAAACGTTTTGCATAACACACGCGATAGATTTCTAATAAAAATTTTTCACAGCAAGCGTCCAGCGATACAATTCGTAAGTCATTGTATAGATGAGAAAGAAGCGAATAAATTTCATGGAAAAATCACGGAGCACCCCGTAGAACGGATGTGGCGAGCGTTAAGTCTGCCGTGAGGTGGTCGTATATACCCGATAGGTACAAGTGTGGAGTCATAGCACGAGCAGCCGTACGTGTGTTTGCGTACACACTGTTGCACTTTGTCGTCGCCGGTACGTCGTAAACTGCATCGTTCGCCAACAATCGTCGTCCCCGGGACGAGAAACGCGCGACCGTGGTGTCATCCTTGTCGCGACCTGGTAATCCCGTCGCTGGTTTTCAACGACCTCCACCCCTTTGAGCTTCTCTCATCGCCTGTATACCTTGGCGCGAGGCGACGCGACATCACCTCTTCGACGAATGCAGAAAGAGCGAGGTACGCGCGCGACACACACGCCCGGCTGCAGCTCCACGCTCGCTTTTCTCGCTTTTCTCTAATTGAACGAAGCGGTTGAGAATTTAATCTTTCGCTCGGGTGTGCTCGTTCGTTTGACTGCGAGCCTACGCCCGGCTCTCGAGCTAATTGCTCGTGACCTTCGTACCGTCGCTCTCGATTCTTCTCGCGCTAATTTGGCTGAAGACGCAGTCGTACCAACGACGGCAGTCGTTTCGAGCATCGAAAGTCTCCTTCTCGCGGGAGAACGTGATCGTGAACGGTTTTTTGGGGGGGAAGGGATTATTCGGGAACTTTGATTATCATTCCTCGACGAATGATCGAACTCTGAACTTTGACAGACTACGATGGAAACGAGTAACTTCGTGTCATTTAAATAATATTTATACAGCGTGTCATTTCGTTTCATTGGCCACTGTCGATGGTATTGATTTAAATCGGCGATAGCTAATATTCCTTTGCTTATACAAATTTGTATAAATTTTGGCGATCATCGTGCAGAAATATCAAACTTTGTCAATACAAAAATGACAAACTTATTTCGTTGCAGGGTCAGTGAAATGTCAAGACGTTTCATGAAACGGACATAGTAATAGAAAAATTTCTCTGCGACGGACGTGTCTTTGTAACTCACGAGTAAAAAAAAAAAAGAAAAAAAAAAGAAAACCATCAACGTTGCGCGGCTATTAATCATCCGGATCCTATTTTTTCATCTTAGAGAAAGAGGCGTGAATTGCATAATTTTTCAAGCGGGAAAATCCCAGATACCGGTTGCAGGCAACCGGTATCCAACCGGCGTACACATTTCTCCCGACTGACACAGATTTGACAAATCGTTAAACGGTTAGCGAGATGTACACGCGTTGCTCGTTGGGAAATGAATTTTTCCGTGTTCTCGTTTTCCGTGCCGCGTTCCCAACCGGCTGCGATTAATCGATAGCAATCCTTAACGCGTTACGACGAGAGAAGTTGGAAGAAGTTTGAAGCGCGTACAAACGGCACAAAGTGGAATTCGACGCGAATTCTTTGTCGGCGTATATACGTATATACATATATATATAGCTCGAAGGACGATGTTCCTCGTTGACAATGAATTACGAGGATTCTTTTCAAGGGTTTCGAAGAAATGGCTTCTGTCGATTGTCTATGATCAAACTACCCGCAGATGTAATTTCACGACGGTAACCCTGTTTTCTCGTTTCGTGGACGCGACTGCTGGCTTCGTTCGTCATTTCTGGGTATTCTTTTTATTCGTTGTTACAGTTCCGCAATGAGATGATAATTTATTGAAAAATAACATTTTTTTTTTATAATTTTCGAGAATATCAAAATTTGTTAGGTGTGTATCGGTTTAACTATTCTGTGGATGTCAGTTATTTTACGTACAAGTATAAAAATTTTGATATTCTATTTAAAAAAGAGTGTTTCGTTTAGACCCATTCAAAGGAATTGAATTTGTATGAACATATTTTTATTAAATAATAAAATTTTATATATACACATTACCAATTTAATTTTTCACGTAGACTCAATCCTTTGCCGATTGTATCATGATTATTAAAACGTCTTGCACACTGTTCATATATTTCTTTTTTTCTTAAAGCCTATTTTATTGATTTAATAAACTCGTGTCTGTGGAACGTCTTCTTCTAACCCGTTATATCGCATCAAAACGTACGAAGTTTACACTACAACGCCCATTGCGACGAATCGAAATCAACGAATCAATAAAAAATACAAAAGAACGCGGACGTATTTCTCCGGTAATCCAATATGAAATAATGAATTTTAATATGTGTATCGACAGAAATGCAAGGATACGTCCGTGAAAAACCACCACCATCACCACCACCCTTTCGTAGCAACAAAATGAAAAGAAAAAAGGAAAAAGAGAGAGAGAGAGAGAGAGAGAGAGAGAGAGAGAAGAAAAAAAGAGTACTCGCTCCGCAGGAACGGAATACAATGTTTCCTCTGACTTTCCTCCGTTTTTAGCTTTCATTTATTCAGCTTTCGTATCTCTCTTTTTTTTTCTAAATAAATTCCGTTGCTGTTCCTGAATTCGGTTTCCTGCACCCACTCTTGAAACGAAACGCGAAACAAATACAAAAACGAAGAAAAGGACGAACAGGATGCGCGAGACGATGTTTCGGATGCTCTTCTGTTGTTATTTTTTTTCCTTTTCTTTCTTTTCTCCGTGTTTTTCTACAATTCGCTTTTTCATTTCCACCGGTACGCTCGAATTTACGAAGAACGTTCATCGAAATAATGATAAATCGCGCGGAACAACAGCGTTTGTTACATTTAAAAACGCGTTACTCATCGGTCGCGGGCAACGACAGAAATGTCCGGGCATTTGTTCTTATATCCTGTTGGTGCTGGTCGCGTCGCGCGTTGCTTATAACATTGATTCATTCCTCGAATCAGATTTTAAGCGACGTTCGTTGGAAACTTCGCAGGACTATCGGTGGATTTCATTTGCTTAATTTGCGTCCAACATTGATTCTATCTCTCACCGTTGTAAGAGCAACACCATTTCAGAAACTCTCGACAAATAACAGCAACTATATTCGCGCGTCTATGTTATAGATTTTGCACATAATTCAAGAGTGTTGATATCTTATTAATATCCATCTTCACATCACTACACATCCGAAGTATAATAAAGATAATAATCCTTTTATCGGAAATAATTCTCTGTTTTGTTTTATCGTAGAACGTAGAAACCCGCGCTTATTACCGGTGACACGCGACGAAATTATTTTTAATTTAACGTACAAGATAAAAATTTCGTAGTTACGTCGAATGAAAGGGATCGGTTGAATTAACGTTATTATAATAGAAGCGGGGAAGAAATGATAAAAAGCGTGGAGAAACTCGGGGAGGAAGCATATGACAAAAAGTATGTAATAGGAGAGTATCTCGTTCTTTCTTTCCTAAATTTAAGATACTTTTCCCTTTGAGTGCTCGTTTCAAATGGGAAAGGAAGTAATGTACGGTAATGCCACGAGACAATGCAACGCGAACGTCATTGCTTGGCGAGGTACTTCGTTTTCGAACGCGAAGGGATTTAATCTTCCTGTTTTCGCCTAACGAAAGCAAAACCATGAGAAAATATAGAAAACTAATCACAATATGTAATGTTCTGGAATCTAACTAGCTCTCAATCCGGAAAGCAATGATAATTCTCAAATCTCCAACTGCCATTAAATCTACGTAAAGTGTGAATCCAGAGGGAAGTGTGCGTGCGCAGCGATACCAACGAAAAGTCGTCAGTATTTTTCCTCTCGCTGGAAAGTTTTAAGTAAATCTTAGCCGATCCACTTGCGATTCAGCCCGTCGTGGGCCGCTCAACCGAATAACTTACTTTCGACGCCATCGCCAGTTCTTAAAACGATAATGATCCATTAAGAAACTCGGAACTCGGGCATTCCTTGTGAATACTACGGATTAGCCGGACGGAGAGATGCTTTTCTCACGAGAGAAAGAGAGAGAGAGAGAGAGAGAAAGAAAGAGAGAGAAAGCGATGGCGAAAGAAAAAACGTTAATCGGAGGAACACGGGGGCCGCCGGAAACGGCCGAGTCTTTCGACTTTTCATCGAACTGGAAGGAGTCGTCTTTGTGCTTAACGGCCGGTACCAGCATGCAGTACGAAATGGAGTTGGGATAGATGGAAACGAAGGGTTCGCTTCCCGATTCCAGATGAACGGATTTCGTTAAAAGCAGATTTACATTTCCTCGGCCACTCTCTATTTCTCTTACTCCTTTTTTATCTCTTTCCCTTTCTACTCTCTTCGCGCAAATCCTTACCAAATTCGCTCTGCTCGTCTGCGCTCTTCCCATATATAAAAAAAAAAAAAAAAAAAGAAAACAGAAAAACAGCGACACACTATTCTACTTATCGTAGTATCTACGTATTGATTGATTAAATTCAAGTGTATCAAATTTCGTGCCACCTAATTTTCACGTGCTTTTTATCAGTCCTCTTGCTGAAAGATAAGCAAATAAATATCTAGCGACTTCTCTCTTTTAGATTCTTTCGAATTTTACCAACATAGTCAAACCAATGAACTAATCTACTTTTCACCAATGAGTCCACACGATAACTATAAAGAAATTTGATACTATGAAAATGGAACATAGAATTAATGGGACATCAATGGGACGTAAGATAAAAATGGGAAACATAGCGATAAAGAAACATAGCTTCGTCGAAGACGATTTCATTATGAAATATGCCCTTTATATTTTCTGCAGTCGCGGTGTTGCACGTTTGATCGTTTCCAGAATTCCATCGATTTTTACTGAGATCATACGACGATTGAAACGTTTGGTTTCTTTCTGTCTAGATGGAATCGTACACGAATCATCAAGAACAGCTGTATCGCAACGACGCTACTTCGCCGCACACTGATCAGACAGAGAATCTTCAGTGGATCCAGATCAAGATAATCCTTCAACCGTTCCATTTCGTGAACGACCAGCTGAATTTACGATGCAGTGCCCAGATTTTAGGCATATATTCGGCGATAAGCGAGGTGCAGCTCATCGCTGGACTGAGTGAACCGGTGCCAGAGAGAGGTAATACGAGTTTTATGCTGACTTTGAATGAGAGACCCGGAATGTACAACGGACACGCGCGCACACACACAGACAGACATCACGTCGACGTGCAGAACTATCCAACGTTTTTCTTTCCTTTTCTCTCTTTTTTTTGCGAGAGAAATTTAATCGCGCACGAGATGCCACAAAGATAAGGATGACGAACGGATTTATTGTAAAAGCCCGACTCTGGTAATTTTTCAGCGAATTCACAGAGATTCAGAACCTAAATTTCGACATGAGACAGTTAAACGTTCTACTTTTGATTCGGTGAGAATGTACTATTGCTGGTGGAAACTGCAGTTTGATTATTTTTGAAGTGCATTAGATTTCAATTTGTGTTCCTTTTTTCTTTTTTTTTTTTTTTGTTCATTTTTTTCTATTTTGAGATGCGATCGTGATTGGAAGACTTGCGCGATGACTGAGAAATTTACTCGAGAAACAAAAATCACAATATTTTAAATTTCCAGCAAAGAAACGAAATCAGACTCCAATCGCCCACTGTCACTGTCTCGCCAGATTATCTTTAATATTCTTAATACGAAAACATTCACTGAGATCTCCCTTGACGATACGACCGACAAAGCCCCCGTGGAAGAATATTCTCTCAAAAGCGGAGCGAGAGTGTCTGTGAACCGACAGAAGCATGTAGTACACCCGTGGTAAAATTGAATCACTTAAAAGTCTCGAAAACATAAGACAAAGCAGCGAATCCTCCATTTCCGAGCTACTGTTTACATTTCATTCGCATTCTCGGCCAGTCCCCATTCGCGCGGCTCGTCGCTGAAAAGTCTCCGTAAATCCCAAAGCAGACTGTTTGTTCTTCGTTTTATATTTCATTCTCTTCTCTTCCTTCTTTCTTTATTTTCTTTTTTTTTTTCTCTCTCTTCACTCGATTTCAACACGACGAACGAACACACCTGGCCCACGAGAAACTGGCCATCGTACGTTCGGCGGGTAATAGTTGCACGCTCGGGCTCACCAACCCGAGGATTAGCCGGTCGGTCGCACAGGCTAATAAATTTCGAGAGTTAGGGTCCACCCACTCGAAATCGGAAAGGAAGCCTCCGGTGCACGCCGCGTTCGCTTCCTGCACGCGACGTCGACGAGATTTAATTGACCGACCACGGTTAGAACCGAGGCTCCTATTACCTTTCTGTAGCTCCTCCTTTCCCTCACCGTTCTTCTTTCTTGGCGGCCGAGTACGTCGTTTCCACGGTCGTATACCCAACCGGAATTCCTGTCGCGACTCACTTGACGTCTTATGACGAAGCACAGCTATGTACTTTGTTCGTACGTTAACGCACAAATGTATCCGGACATTCGATGCAGTTTTAACAGAACACAATTTTTCAAGCCGCGACGTAGCGTGAAGTTGCAGGTAAAAAGAGAATTTCAGATAATAAGATCGTGATTTGGGGATTTATATTGATACGTAGCGGAATAAAATCGGTGATAGTGAAATTAAATTTTAGAATGTTCGTTTTCTTTGTGCAGGTTTAATGTCGCGTCGACATCAAGATAGTCATCAGCGACTAGATTCGGTACTTATATTTTTTGGCATAGATTTATATCCATCAAGTATTGGAGTGTTCCCTTGAGATGATTTTGGCAAGTCAAGACAGCGGTAGGATTAATCCTATGGGATCTTCTCTGCCACTCATAGTTTGTGCATTCATATAGAATGTGTTGAGCTATGACAGATTTTTGATATCCATTGCAGAAGGGAGGATCAGTCTTCTTGATTAGGTGATCATAAGTTATTGAAGCTGTGTCCTGTACTTAATCGAATCTAAATTCTTAATGCAATTCTTTCTTCTTTGGTTAATCCGCGAAAAGGAATTTCTTGGTAGAAATCGTTCGCTACGTTATGGATCTTTGTTCGATTTGATGTTGTCCATAGTTCACTCATCCTTGACGTTGATCTTTGCACAGTGTATAAGTTCTTATACACTGGATAGGAATGACTCTAAATGGTAAGGTCTAAATTTTAGAATGTTATCACTCAAGTGTTTAAGCAAAGTGCATAATCATTCAAGATTCTAATTTGCGTAAATTGTACGTGGAAGGTTCTAGAATAAAAAGAAAGGATATGAAAATATTAGGATACGTTTTGAAGAAAGCATGTACAAGAATTACTTATTCAATTTTCAATTGTCATCCGAAAGAATGCTGCCTAAGGAAATTCCTCGAATTTCATTTCGATCGCTTTAACAAGATTGAACGTCTTGCTACAAAGAAAGCTAACGTTCGAACAAAGCGTGACATGAGACGTAACAAAAGACTAACTTTTGAATCAAGAATTTAGTTTATTGCAGCATATAGCGTACGTCCTCATGAGCGAAATTCTAGTTTACTGTTTTAGAGTCGCTAAAACTTCATTTTGCTCGGCTCTTGATAGCTTAAGGTATGTCGTAAAGCGGAAGTTCTGAAGGGAAACTCTGAAGATGGGGCATAAAGGCACCAGAGTGGCACCAGCCCAAACCAGGGACTAGCACTAACAGAAATCTTGCGCCACGCCCAACTTTCACGTACCATCTACGCGAACAAGTATTTTCACATGCTTTTCACGGATAAATCGTGAAAGCAGGTATTAGTGACAGGCTCGATTGACAATCAATCGCAACATCGTGGATCCCCGATTCTCAAGAAAATACAAATTTAATTTTTTTAGTTGTTCAGTCTTTAAAGAATAAGAATTATCACAGTAACGTTTTATTGTTACATTTCTGCGCAATAGAGAAGTTGCAAGTATAATTCCTCTGATCCCTCTTGAGAATTAAAGACCCTCCAACAGTTAGATTACGCGAAATGGCATAAATATTCAAACATTTTCCATTTCTTATCACGGTGGAGAAGGTATGAAACTAGCATCTGTCAGCAAGAAATTAATCCTTTTCCCTTAATGTTATCGTTAGCAGGAAGAAAGCGTAGAAGGTAAAAAAGTAAAGATATTAATGAAGGCGATTAAACAATGTCAGAGAGTGCCTAGCGAGAAAGAATATGAAACGTCTTCGATTTTTCAACTACAGAAAACTTACGATTCAATTTCCGCGGCATTCTCGCCTTAATAGCACACTGAAAGTAATTATTTAGTTCCGTCTTACGCGTCGTTCTTACGAGTAGTAATATCTAACTTTCTCTCAAATCAAACAACTTAGAAACACAATTGACCCGTCCGTTCAAACGTTTTATAATTACTAAAAAAAAAGAAAAAAAAGACCTAAAGTCCAATACCAGAAAATATCGTTATATACTTCCAATTTCTCGTTCGAACGTGAAACCGGAGATGAATTAGTTTCCTCGTCGTTTTACTGCACCGAGATTCTTATTAGCCGCAGTGCGGCGTTGCGCGGCGGTATTTCGAAATTTAGCTGAAAGCCGCGATTTCTGCACGATTGGAATAATCACTTTGCCGTCGCGTCGCCAGCGCCGGGGAACTGTGTCATTCTCTCAACAAAAGGCAATGAATTATATTCCATCAGGCTGGAATATTTACCAACGAAGCGTACTGCAAATAAAGAGGGGGAGAAAAAAAAATTATCTTAAAATTTCATCCCGGTTTTTATCGACGAGTCTCGGCCGGTCCTGCTACCCGATTAAATTGAATTTTAGCGCGTGCAAGTAGAATATGATGGATGGCGTCAGACGAGCGGCTCCGTTGTCGGATTAAAACGCACACGACTCACTAGCTTCTTGCGTGAAAATCGTTTCGCAGTTAGGTATTCATAGCGTTCCATGCTGTTATCTCTTAAATTAATTGCTTTGCCCGTATTATTAAACATTCTATCAAATGTCTGCAACGTTTCTAGTTATAATATGGCAATAGTAATAGAGTACAATTAGTAGATCAGTTTCTTGATTCAAATTTAAATTTTTTATTTCGTAAAAGTATTCTGAATGCTCTAACATGACATAACAATGATAAAATATTAAATAATAAAGTCCAAATCTAATAATTGCCACTGCAGAATTTTTAAAAATTTATTCGTACATCCTGCAAAATGTCTCGTAACCGTACTATTGAAAATACTGTTTTAACTGTACTTTAATAATATACGATGATTGCAGAAAGTATTTGCTCACTATTGAATTTATTGCAACGTATATATACTAATTGAATTTCACGGTACGTCAACTATTGAATTCGACGTTCAAAACTAACCAATTACAATTGAGTTAGAATTCTTATTTAAAATTCATTGAAGTTCCGTTTGAATTACTACCGTCCCATTGCCAGGTGGAGAAAGAAAATTTGGTAGTTTCTTCTTAATATTAGGGCTGTTTCACGTTAGATATGTGTCACTTTAATCCATTGACTGCCGCAGAATCATGTTGTTTCGGGATAGACAATCAGTTATGCGGCGGTAAACCAGAGTTATTTGGGATAGGCAATCAACTATGCAGTGGTGAACCGAGATATCTCACGTGATACGCAGGGAAAGTACGTATATGGGTCAACAGTAGCAGGATACGGCGTTATTGTGACCGGTGTATTGCAGAAAATTCAGAATTGTTGGAATATCGACACATCAAACATTTTAGTAGCCGTATTATGCTCGAAAAAATTTCTGATATGCGGAAATTGTTGCGTCGCGTTTACAATGACGCGAATTACTGTTCGGCCGTATCGTTTTATTCCCAATACGTGTGTTTCATATATAATAACATTTCCAATCAGAATTTACACGACGTATTCGAATTTTTTGTTCTGTTAATGATAAAAAGATTTAATTGGTATTAAAATGTAACGTGCATTGAAATTATTTAAATTATTCATTGCATTGCATTGCTAATTACCAACTGCTATCACATTATATTAATTAATGAATTCAATAATTTCCTTTTTTGCGAAAAATTTAATTTATTCCCTTTGCTAATTTAATTCTGTCTCTTTGGTTCTTTGCATAACGCAAGGTTTAATTCTATGTAATCTAATTATTCATATTAATTTTTTGCAGGATTTCTAAAAATATTTC